GAGAGAAACCCTACAAGTGTGAAGAATGTGGCAAAGCTTTTTATGAATCTTCAATGCTGAAGCAACATCAAAGAATTCATTCTGGAGAGAAACCCAACAAATGTGAAAAATGTGAGAAAGCTTTTTATGATCCCTCAATGCTGAAGCAACATCAAAGAATTCATTCTGGAGAGAAACCCTACAATTGTAAAGAATGTGACAAATCCTTTAACACTCCTTCAGTGCTGAAGCAACATCAAAAAATTCATTCTGGAAAGAAACCCTACAAGTGTGAAGAATGTGGCAAATACTTTAATAAACCTTCAGTGCTAAAGCAACATCAAAGAATTCATTCTGGAGAGAAACCATGCAAGTGTGAAGAATGTGGCAAATCCTTTTATAAACCTTCAGTGCTGAAGAGACATCAAAGAATTCATTCTGGAGTGAAACCATGCAAGTGTGAAGAATGTGGCAAATCCTTTTACTACCCTTCACTGCTGAAGCAACATCAAAGAATTCATTCTAGAAAGAAACCATGCCTGTGTGAAGAGTGTGGCAGTTTATTTTCTTCATTCTCATCCCTTACTCAACATCAAACAGTTCACCACAAAGACAATCTCTACAAGTGTGCAGAGTGTGGCATAAGGTTTTCCCATTCTGCAATCTTTCAGAAACATAGTAAAATTCATGAAGAGAGACCATACAAGTGTGAAGAATGTCACAAAACCTTTCTTTATCACTCATCACTTAAGAACCACAAGGTAGTTCATACTAGACAGAAATTCTACAAGTGTGAAGAGTGTGGCAAATATTTTTCCTCAGCTTCATGCCTTAGACGACATCAAATAATTCACAGTGAAGACAACCCTTACAAGTGTGAAGAGTGTGGCAGATGTTTTTCCTCAGATGCATGTTTTAGAGCACATCAAACTATCCATTCTGAAGACAATCCTTATACCTGTGTACAATGTGGCAAACGATATTCCTGTTCTAGGGATCTTCAGGAACATCAAACACTTCATACTGGAGAGAAATTGTACAAGTGTGAAGAATGTGGCAAAGGCTTTCATTATCTCTCATGCTTTAGGAATCACCAGGCAATTCATACTGGAGAAAAACTTTACAAGTGTGAAGAATGTCACAAAACCTTTCGTTATCTCTCATCCCTTAGGAATCACATGGGAGTTCATACTGGAGAGAAACCATTCAAGTGTGGAGAATGTAACAAAACCTTTTGTTATCTCTCATACCTTAGGAAACACAAGAGAGTTCATAGTGAAGAGAAACCATACAAGTGTGAAGAATGTCACAAAGCTTTTCATTATCTCTCATCCCTTAGGAAACACAAAAGAGTTCATAGTGAAGAGAAACCATACAAGTGTGAAGAATGTCACAAAGCCTTTCATTATATCTCATCCCTTATGAGACACAAGACAGTTCATACTGGAGAGAATCCCTAAAACTGAATGTGTGAGAAGGTTCTCTTTACCTTCATCCTTTAGACAATATAAAAAAAAAAAAAAGGAAATTCATTCTGAAGACAATCCCTAAAATTGTAGAGAATGTGACAAAAACTTTGTTAGTCTGTATGTGCTTACTCAACAGATGCTATAGTTCATATGGAGAAATATCCTAAAAATGTCATTAAATGTTTACTTTTTCAACCCTTAAAATACATCAAATGATTTATTCTGACTCAAACTCCATGAGTGTGTGATGTGTGGTAAAATATTTGCTAACTATTCAGATCTTACCCACCTCAATGAATCCATAGTGGAGATTATTAGGTTAATCATTTTGGAATGTCAGCAAGAACATCTAACTTCCAATAGCAAAAATGCTAAGAATGTCATCAGAGAGCTGTAGAGATTTCTCTTTGTTAACCCCCAACAATTTGTCCAAGCAGTGTGTTTGAAACTTGCCTTGATTAATGAGTCTCTTTCTTCTGTAACTATAAATGTTCCATGAAACCTTTACCATGTCCTGAAATTGTCCCCTGGGTACCTGGAATCTGAGATCTGGGCTGTGGCATAGTTACTCTTGTTTTTCCCAGTGGAGTCATCCAAGCTCCTGTAATATCTCCCCTAGGTGTGTAAGAATCTCTGTCTCTCTGAGCTAGCAGGTTTTAAACCAGCACATGGCTCCTGAGTCCTTATTGGTAAAATAAAAGACAATGACTTAGTTAAAACTACAGGAAGGCTCTTCCAGTCTAAGGCCTCAGCCTCAAGGCAGCAGCTGCAGCTGAAGAGGTGAAGTCATCAGCTGTGGCATTGATAGTATGAGGTGCAGCTGCTGTGCCTCAGATAAAAAACAACAGTGCCCATAGAGTAATAATGACAGACAAGTTATGAGAGGAACCAATGATTTTCTGGTTGGGTTTAATGCTCATTCCACAAATTGTAACTGATGTGATATTAATTTGGTATATACTTAAGCTTGGCTTGGTGATAAGACCCAGGGAGAATTGAAGGCTGTTATTCTAATAAATGGATACTAACTAAATGAGCCCAAGGTCTCATCTTTATGCCACTGAGTCAGGGACCTCTCAACACCCACCAGAGAATATTAGTTGTGTTGTAGATAGAGAATAATACACAGATGCACACTGGTCAAAGTATAGAGAATATTAGCCTGTGGAGGCCCTGATCTAAAAGTGATACCTGTGTCACACGTTGTGAAAGAGGATTCTTACACTTATCTAAAGCCAAAAGTCAGGGAAATCTGAGAGAATAGAGATAGAAAGAAGGTCAGAGGAAGAAATAGATGTCTGCAGTGAAACAGTAGAAATGTTGAATCATTTTTCGAACAGTGAAACATTGCTAGAAATGTCAGTACCATTTCATGCTTGAATGTGGTTGATATATTATGTAAATGTGATATGCACATTAGAGAAAACACAGAGAAATGAATAAGCCTCTAGATTACATGGCAAAGAGTCTATGCTTCTGCAGGGCATTTACCCACCAACTCCACAGTTTCCCAGAGTTTTCTTGAGTGCGAGCAGCGGGAAATATTAGATAGAAGGATTTAGATTGTGGAGATGAATAGATAGAAAATACAGGATACCGTCAAGAGGACCTGGAACCTATTTCAATAGGCCCTGACTGTTTCTGCCCCAGGGTATTTACAAAGACGCCTAGGGGTCGAGCAAAAGCCCTTCCCCAACACACCCAAGTGCAAGCCATCTCAGATACCCATGGTCCAATCATCCTGTCTATGCAGACCTGTTGGGTAAAGCCACGAGGAACCTGAAAATGGGCTCCCACAGGTCCCACTTTCTTAATATATAAAAAATAACTTGTTATTAAGAGTTCACAATAATCTCCATAGCTTTCCACCTCCCAGTATGAGAGTAGAGGATGATAAAAATGGCATTTCTCTTTTGGATTAGGTCCAAGGTGACTACAGCAGTCTTTAGCTGCATCAAGCCTGTCTAAACCAAAACCTTAGTACAACTGCAAACTTAAAGAATCCCTTAGCTTCACCGTTACCATTAACAGGTTAACATAAATATTGCTATCCATAGTTACAATTCTCTCAATCTTACATCTTTAACTCTTAATAAAATCATTTGAATTTTCTTGTTAACAGAACATAGGAAAGACTTCTGATGTATTCTCAAACTTAAATATTTCCTTAACTCCACAAACCCAGGGTGCATTAATATCAATAGGGTAAACATAATTTCTGCAAACATACATTCAACCTTAATTCACTCATAACTCTTCCTTTTCTTTATAATTTTTTAAAACAAAATCTCGAACCTAGTTAGAAAAAACCCAAACTTACACAGTTCCTACACACCCATTTTGAAAAGCAATATTCTCAATCTAACCATTAACACTTTGAAAACTTTTAGCAAAACATCCAACAGCAGTTTCTTAATAAAACTCTTTACACTTTAAAAGTAGTCTCTTAGTATACCCCATTTGCATTTCTTACTAACAAAACATGACATTAATCCACTAAAACAACAATTTTTTTTTAAATTAAATAGACTAAGGAATTTTAACTCTCCCTTTTCTTTTTAATTTTTAAAGCAAAATCGCAAGCCTAGTTAGAAAACCCTCTCTTTTCTCTTTAAACAGTGCCATTTGTGACAAAACCAGTTCCATAACTAATACCATTTTTACACAAGCAGTTCCATAAAAATTCATGAATCACCAGTTAATAAAGCATATATGCATACACAAAATTGCATCTTGATTCTAGGTAGAAACAATAAATGTCTTCATTTAAAAGTTCCATTTTTAACACAATGAGTTCCAAAAAACAGTTCCCAGGTCATTGGTATAAGTAAACTCAAAATTGTCCAATTGCAATAAAATCAATTATTTATTTCATTAAGTCCCAAAATTCAAATAATAAATTCTGGTACTAGCCTCCCAAATATGAAGAAATGCATAACCAAAATGTTTTTGTAGTTTTATCTCACTATTTTAAGTTCAAAAAGTTCAAAAAAGTAAATTCTTGTATCAGGCTTTCACTTCCAAATATGAAGAGATGTTTTACAACCAAAACTTTTTGCAGTTAACAATTTTAGTTCAAACAAGCATCTCTGCAATTTTTATTCTCAAGCCAGAGACATTTTTAGGTACAATAGTATTCTAAACCGCACCATTTAGATGAATTAATGTTATAAGAGACAGTAGAGAAGCCTTAGCTATAGGCTGAGCTATCCTAATTAATAAGTATACATGGGTTTTTTTGAGCAGGTGGCCCCAAGGAAAATTCATGTACAGAGAAGAGTCAGCACATTCAGAGAGAACATGACAACTGAAAGAGGCATGGAGTGCTACTCTGAAAACCCTGGAGTTAGAAAAAGTTAAAGAACACATGGATTTCTCCCCCACCCACTTAGTTACATTACAAACTAAAGACCCATTTGGGTCTCTACATTTTTGATACACTGGTCTCTTATATATGGCTAAGGAAATAAATTGTCTTCAAACAAATCAGACACTAACATGATGTTCTAGGGCTATAGGACAAGTTACAGCCTCATGTATAATAATGAGATATATGCAACTACCAAAACAGGAGTTCCACAAGAAATGGCTGATATTGCAGAAAGAGGGAAACTATAGTGAGGCTACTAAACAATTTTTTTCTAAATAATAGGATAAACCATTTATAAAATGCATAGAGGAATTAAGACTGCAAACAAGATGTCAATGGACAAGCACAGGCTGATAAGGAAATGTGCATGTCCCACAAACTTAATAGATGGTTTATGAACACTGAATTCTTGTAAAGGTGAAACAAGGGTAGAGGGTTGAGAAGTGGTTCAGCAAACACAAAGGGAATCAGGACTAGTTGGATGTTAGTCATTTAAGTATCACCTCATGTCCAGATTGATCTTTGGGGACTCTCCAGATTCCTATCCATCATGTTCATGTAACCTCCATGTTCCAAGGTAAGGTATGGTAAAAAACATAAGTACATCTCTAACTCACTCCCAGGACACCTATCTCTGATGAAGTCACCTGTGCTTTACCTGGCTTCAAACTCAGTCATTCCAATGGCATGACAGTCCATTGATGAGATCTCAAATGACCTAGGAGACAAACTTCTGCTAATGTCTGTTGGGGAAATTTAGTAGTTGCTTGTTGAGGAAAGAAGATACTCTCTAAAGGTGTAAAGCTCCAAACTTTAGAGTTTACCTAGACAGTATAAGTAGTGCTCAATAGAAGCATTCATGGTTCTCTCCATTGGAACTGTGTATGCAGTGTGTCCAGGACCAATATCCTATGAAGGGAATCATTCCATCCTGGAGGGGCCTCATTATCTCCTGGGAATAATGCATGTCATAGGCCTTGGGGATTTTCCAGCATATACAAGATTCACATTAAGGACCTGCTGGAGACACTATAAACAGAAAGGATTGTAAAGGAGGAGACCAATCATCAGTGGAGCTGCCTGCAAGTCATACACTGAGCTGTAGGCATGCAGGTAACCTGAGAGATATTTTTAGCATTGCCGATGCACATGAATATCAGTTTTCCCTCTTTCTGTTCTAATCCCTCAATCATTCTCCTGTTGGCAACTTACTGATTCATGAATATAGGGACTGTAATGGAATCTTTGATGTGTCATTAATTAGAGCCCGATCTGAGAAGAGTATATGTTCTTTCTATTCTCCATTAGATAACCACAGGACCTGGTGTCTTTTTTAATTGCTGTGAGACAATGCATTAATAATTCACAACTCGAGCTGGAGAGATGGCTCAGAGGTTAAGAGCACTGACTGCTTTCCAGAGGTCCTGAGTTCAATTCCCAGCAACCACATGGTGGCTCACAACCATCTGTAATGAGATCTGGTGCCCTCTTCTGGCCAGCAGTCACATATGGTGTATATATAATAAATAAATAAATAAATAAATCTTTTAAAAAATAATAAATAAAAATAAATAAATAAATGTAATTTTTAAAAAATTCACAACTTATTTCATTGTGCAAATGTCCTCTGCTAGTGAGCATAGTATCAGGTTGGCAGGTATGGTCCTCTACAGTAGTAGACAGCTTACATATTTATCCACAATAGGGGGTAGATAAAGCTAACTGGGAATTGCCCACAATTTTCTATATGAAAAGCCCAGCCCCAATGACACAGCCCTTAGGATAAGGCCACACCTCCTAATCCTTCCCAAGCAGTTCCTATCTACTGCTGCCC